GAGAGAGAGAGAGAGAGAGAGAGAGAGAGAGAGAGAGAGAGAGAGAGAGTTGGGGGGGGGCAGGGACGGATCAGGCTCAAGCTGTGATAGGCATGTAGTCATCCCAGAACAGCTTTCAGGAGTTGATTCTCTCCTTGCACCATCTCTGTCCCAGCAGTCAAACTCAGATTGTCAGATTTGACAGCCAGGGCCTTTACCTGCTGAGCCATCTCAGCAGCCAGGACACAGCTCCCCCTTAAGGGGCTTCAAAAAATCCTAACGTCACCACCTTTTCCCTTGGAATTTCAAATCCAGCCATGACAAAGCCAGTCCAACTTCTCTTGTCTTCCCAGGGGAAAGGAAGGTGAGGTCTGGAGTGGACCAAGAGGGAGGGGTTTATCTTCAATACTCCTTGTCATGTCTCTGAAAGTGATCTAATCGCTTTTTGAAGGCTGTACCTCTGTGGACATAGCACACAATATTTACCAAAAAAAAAAAAAAAAAAAAAAAAAAAGGAATAAGAGGTAATTAATTCTGAATCCAATCTCTGTCACTATGGCCCAGAAAGACAGATTCAGGTTGCTTTGAATGACATGATCTATTGTTGAGTGATTACCCAAACTTTCACAGTCACAGAAGAAAACAGTCATAAATCAGCGCACTTTCACACACTGGTGTGGACAGCAGGTAGGTGTGCTGCAGGAAAGTAGGGAAGTGTCTGCTACAGGCTTCAGACGCTATCTGAGGATGTTCATGGCCTTCGGGCGGTGGGTACTATTGATCCTCTAAGTTAATATATTACTTTTTTAAGCTGATAGTAAATCAAATGATAGATCAGCAACAAAGTTAAAAAATGAACGTCTATTGCAAGACTAAAGATAACCAAAGGACATTTGACTCTCACTTTGCAACATCCCAACTCTCTACAATCTTGAACACCTCACTTATACGCCAGCCTGGAGAATCTACAATATAGGTATGGCTTTTTGAGGGAACTCACTGAGCACACCTCTTGACGTTGTGGTGTTGGGGGTTGTATGCAACATAATAACGTGTGAGGAAACAGCAAGCCTTCGCTCCAAACCACTGCCTTTGGAAACGTGAACAATTTCTCAAATGGTTACTGAATCAAATTTTTGGACTTCACAACACTGAAGTAACAATATTTGAGTTAAGCAATAGTAGGAATCGGGTTTATTCAGACACACTATCCTAGGAAATTGGAATGTACTTTTATTTATTTATTTATTTATTTATTTATTTATTTATTTATTTATTTTGGTTTTTCGAGACAGGGTTTCTCTGTGTAACTTTGCATGAGTGCATGGAGTCGAGGGACAAGAAAGACTAGGAGGAAGAAAAGAGAGTGCAGCATCACAATGGGCAGGGAAGCTGAGTGGGGTTGTCTCCCTATCTGTGTACTTGCAGACATTGGTTTTCCTCTGTTGACCATAGCAATGGATCTCCACCACCAAGGGCCAGCACCTACATTTGCTTTTCAGACCAACTGATGGCTTCTCAGTAGGCTAATAAACATGTTCCATGGTAGTTTGCACAAATACAATTTTCCTTTGAACTAGCTAGGTGGGGCTTTCCCTCTGCTAAAGGGTTAGGAATAAGTGGTGTGGTGACGAAGAAGGGGAGTAAAAGACAATTTTCCGAGGAGGAGCTCATTAGAAGATTCCTCTTTAGTGCTTGTTGGGAGGGTAAATGTAAGTTTAAGATCTTAGTAATGACTCATTCATTTATTTCACAAATATTTGCTGAATGCCTAAAATGTTTGTCCTTAATGGATGAGCACAAGGAGCACAATCCCTGCCTTAATGGAATTTTGAACTTAAAAAAGAACATTAATCAAGCAATCTCAACAAATACGTGGTGCCCTGTAATTAGAAAACCAGACAAGTATACTGTTACACACACTGGTGGAGCAACAGTGTGTTAAGGCTGGTGATTCCGTTCAAATTGCCTGAAGGGACTGCAATTTGAACTATTAAACAGTACCAACAACAAAAGCACACAGTGGCATCCTTTAAAGTTTGTGACGGAGACTTTCCACAGGACAGTCACTGTAGGTAAAGATCATGGCAGTGTGGGGATATGTTGAAATCAGCTCTAAGCACAGTCTGGGCAAGTAGGAATTTGCAACCAAGGAGCAAAGCAGGATCAGTAGATGGCAAATTGCTCAGAGGAAATGTAGGGTGCAAAGAGGATTCTACCTAAACCAACCCAACAGGACTTTCACTGAAAACAGCTTGGAGTGATTAGACAGTTTCAGGAGCCTGGTGGAAAATGGGGTCCCTGATAAAATTCTCAGGGAGATAGGCGCCAAGGATAGAGACTCAAGCTAACACTGAATTTTATAAGAAAGTGAAGGCAAAGGAAAAGGAATCTAAAGTTTGGTAATGCAAAGACTCTTTGGATTGAAACCAAATCCTAAAGTTGGCAAAGTTAGACAAGGAGCTAGTGGAGGATTTGCATAAAGATGGAGCATTGGGAGCAAAAAGAACTGAAAGTTGACCCCAGCTAAGGGCTAAAAGTCCTCTCTAAAGAAAGTTTACAACAGAAAGCTGGACCCACAGGGCGTGGTGATGTGCATTAAC